ACTGTTTTACAATAAATGGCTTCTCCATCTTTCTCTATCATTCGCCATAATCTTAAGCTCCCTGTAGGAAGTGACTCCTGCATCCTGCATTATTTGGCTAATGTACCTCGTTCTAGGTCTTCCTCTTGATCTTGTACCCTCTATCATTCCTTCAATTATTAAACTATGCAATTCATCTCCATGCCTCAACGTGTGTCCTATCATCTGCCATCTCCTTCTCTTTATAATGTCAATCAGTGTTCGTTTTTCATCTATTGTCCTCAGGATGTCTTCATTTGATCTTTTATCAGTCCATCTTATTCTCTGCATCTTTCTCCAAAACCACATCTCCAGAGCTTCTAACATATCTTTTTCTTTCTTATTAATTGTCCAGGTTTCACTTCCGTATAATGCCACACTCCAGACGTATGTTTTTATGAGCCGTTTCTTCGTCACTATGTTCATATTTTTTTATGTTAGTACTTTTCTTTTTTTAAGGAATGTATTCTTTGCTAGATCTATCCTGCTCCTGATTTCCTTGGTTGATTTCCCGTCATCTGTTATAATGCTGCCTAAGTAATTGAAATAGTCTACTTGGATAATTTCTTTGATTTCTAATGTTATATTTATTTTCTTGTAGCATACTAGGGCTTTGGTCTTGGCTGCGTTTATTTTCAGACTATATTCTTTGAACGTAGTATTCATTGCATTTAACGCTGTTTGTAAGTCTTCTTCAGATGTTGCAAGAACGACTATATCATCAGCGAAGCGAAGCATTGTTATTAGTACCCCTCTTATTTTCACTCCAATTCCTTTTTGTATTAACCAAAGCTTTATGACGTTTATTGATTTTTCAATAAATACATTAAACAATGCAGGTGAAAGTGGGCACCCTTGTCTCACACCTTTTTGGATTCTAGTAGTCACTATTGTTGTATTAATGTTAATAATGGATTCTTGTTCTTCATAAATCTTATAGAGAATATGTCTGTCTTTAAAATCTATCTCTGTTTCTTCCAAAATTTTAAAGAGACTTGTCCAATTTATGCTATCGAATGCTTTTTCTAGGTCTACAAAGGCCATATAAGTGATTTTTTGTCTCTCAATTTGCTTTTCGAGTATTACTTTCAGACCTAAAATAGCCTCCCTGGTTCCTTTGTTCTTCCGGAAACCATATTGATCGTTTGCTAATCTGGCTTCTATCCTCTTACTTATTCTTTTGCTTACAATTATTGCTAGTAATTTAGCCGCATGCGATATCAAGCTTAGGATCCTAAAATTTTCACACTGGTTGGCTCTAGGTTTTTTTGGTAGGATAACTAATCTACTACATCCAAAATATCTCGGAATTTTCCCAGTCTCGTATATTTGACATAACAGTTCGTACAGAGCGTTCTTTATTTCAACTCCTGACTGCTGTAGGAGTTCTGTGTTTAATTCGTCTGGGCCTGGTGCTTTGTTTTTCTTCATTGTTTGAAGTGCGTCTTCAAATTCTGATTTTAGAATCCTTGTATCTGCATTTGAATCAAAGTCACCGTCGGTTGGGTTTACAACGAGTAAGTCGGTGTTTTCTTCTTCTCCATATAGTTCTTCTACGTATTCTTTCCATCTATTCGCTATCGCTATTTCATCTATAAGTAAATTTCCCTCTTTATCCTTTACGTGTGTGCATTGAGGTTTTTTTTCATTGAAATATCGTTTGATAAGTTTATATGCCTTATCCTGTTGATTATATTCCATCATATTGTCTATTTCTTCACAATTCTTTTCGATCCACATCTCTTTGGCTTTTTTTGCTTCACGGATTATTTTATTTCTTAACATCTTATATTATCTTTTACTTTCTTCATCTGTTTTGTTTTTAAGCAATCTTCTTCTTTCTATATCTTGAACTATTTCCATTGTTATCCATTTGCGTTTCGGAGCTGGTTTCTCCCTAGTTAATATTTCTTCTGCAGACTGGACAATAGTTTCTTTTATGCGACGCCAACCATGCTCTATATTATTACAATCATCTATCCTCGGCTTACTTTTGGTTTCACGTTTTTCTTTGCATTTCTTTTCGAACAGTTTTCTTATTTCTGGTTGTTTTAGTTGACACAAATTCCATTTATGATCCTTGTTTTTTGGTTTTTCTAAATTCTTGAATTTCAATACGGACTTGATCATTACCAGGTTGTAGTCACTGTCAATATCCGCTCCTGGGTTTGAACTCGATTTGATCTGGTTTTTGTATCTATTCTTTACCAGGATATAGTCTAATTGGTATCTGTTAATATCACCTGGCATTTTATACGTATAGCGTCTTCTTTTATGATTCATAAATAAAGTATTGGTTATAACTAAATCATGTTGTCTACAGAATTCGACAAGACGATCACCTCTTTCATTCCGAGTCCGTATTTACCAACTTCTCTGTCGTCTGTATTTTCACCAACAATCGCATTCCAGTCCCCCATGATAATTAAATTTTCCTTACTATTTGTGAGATTAATGAGTTCTTCTATCTTTTCGTAGATCTTTTCTACTTCTTCATCGTTTGCTTGTGTTGTGGGTATATATTCTTGTATAATTGCAATATCATTAGGAACAGATTTTAATTTGATCAATATCAATCTATCATCGTAAGCAATGTAACTTCTCACACATTGTGCCCATTTTTTATTCAGAATAATGCCAACTCCATTCCTTCCATTATCACCATCGGAGTATATGACTCTGTAGTCTCCAGATATAAAGTCACCTTGACCATTCCATCTCATTTCACTTATCCCCAAAATATCAATTTTGAGACGTTTCATCTCAATCTTAAGATTTTCTAGTTTCCCTGTTTGTAACAGGGTTCTGATATTCCATGTTCCTATCATACTACAAGGATTTCGCTGGGTGACGACCTGAGGTACTTTGTTTGGCCTCCTGCCGGGAATAACCTCTCCGATAAGGTCGTTTCCATACATTATATCATTTATTGTTCTGGTCATTTGTTAATTGACTAAGGAGATTAATGTGGTGGTTTCCTCTTGCCTTCCACATCGTAGTGTAGCAGCCATGTTCATGGTCTCCATGTACGCCTACTACTTCTACCTGGCTATAGTTGTACCTGCTTACGAAGCATCCACCTATAGCCAGTACTGAAGGCGCTGCTGCTCACCTTCAGGTCCATTTTTGTCGCCTCTTACGACAGGTATGGACTACCGTGGGTGTATTCTGGCCCCCACCCACAGGGGAATCTTTGTGTTAATAATTGTTTTATAACCATTTATATTATACTAGCGTTTGCAATATTAATTGCCGACTAGTTTACGTGCATACACCGCTTCACCGAGTAAGTTTCTTAATTTCATTTCTTATATCTTAAAATTTAATATATAGAATTTTCAACGGTGATCATAACCATTGCGTTATCAACCGTGATCAAGATTACTGGCTTTTCCTAATTATTCCTTTTAATCCTTTGCAACGGTGCTCGTAACAACGCTTTACCAACCGTGATACAAAGGGTTAGATTCCTCCGCTTACATAAATTCAGTTAATCTTCAACGGTGATCATAACCTCCGTGTTATCAACCGTGATCAAGATAACTGTCTCCTTGTAAAAGTCCCCTTAATCTTTTGCAACGGTGTTCGTAACAACGCGTTACCAACCGTGATACAAAGGGTTATACTTTTACCTTCACCTTAAATTAAGTGGTTCCTAAAGTAAGACTAATATAATAGGTAGCTGTTTAGTATATATTCATATTTTTTAAAATAAAACAAAATAAATTGATTATTTGAACAATTTGCGTTGTGTTTTCGTCTTATTGATAAATTTAAGTTAGTAAAAAACAAACTTAAAAGAGTAAAAACGTAGAAACGTTTCACATGTCGATAATTCTTTTAATCGCCTCGCAAAAGTTTACGTAGTTCAGATCAGATTTGATGAATATAGGCAGTGGTTTGCGTAGAGTGAGTTCATTAGTGTGTTCGTTTTCCATGTTATCATAATTTGTTTGTAGAGGACTATATCGGTTTAATAATTTAATAATAATATTAGATGTATCGCTGTGTTTTCCTATAGGATAGGATCCGGGTGATTGTGTTTACGGTCTTTTATTGGATGATAAAACTGTTATCCAGTCGTCATCTGAATCATTTGTAATGGTTTTTGTGATATTAAGAATTTGGGAACGATTTACAATTGCTATCGGGGTTATCGTAGTGTTACTAATTTTATATAACGGCGTTGACAGCGGAGTGCGATTACTTTTCATTCTAAAGGAATTAGTAATGTATTAATTTCTTACATTTATCCCGAAGGATCGCAATAATATTAATATTTATATTGATCTTGAATTCTTAGTTTTAGATGTTTTAAACAAAACTACTTTAATATTAAACAATAAATTTAACGTAAATTTATAGCAGAAAAATAGCAGGAGCATAACATGAGACATGTGAACTCTATGGCAGCTGAAGGCTATGTGATGGCAGTTTTTAGAAAAAAAAAATTGAAAAAAAATTGAAAAAATATCGAAATTTAACAATTTTAACGTAATTTTTTTGGGGATTTCCCCCATTTACAAGAAACGAGAATATTTCTTTCAATATTTAAGGGAAATGTCTTCAACTAGATACGATTTATGATCTTTTAACTTATCGTTGAAAGAAATCGGTCAGTTGAGAACTGAAAAATTGTGGTGACAAATAAAAAAAAACAATTAAAAACTTGTAAATTGGGAATATATGAAACCAAATACTACTAAAATAATTTTTTTAACATAATTATTATTTTAAGAGATATTGAATGGATCTTTGTAAATAATTAATAACAATATACAATAAAATCAATTTAAAACATCTCAATTTTTAAATTTTGTATATCTAACAGTCTAACATATAATGAGAGAAACATAGAACTAAAAGAAACCAATAAAAAAATACTCATATTATTTTTATTTTTCGATTAAATAAATGTTTCATGATAAATAAAGCATCCTGTATGCAGCATTCATTACAAAAAAAAATTTAAAACATCTCACTTTACACGTTGTATGGCCAATAATCAATCATATAAAAAGGTTTATAAGTTGACTGATTTTCAAGGAAATTATTTGTATCAGTATCATTTTCACTAAGGTCGTCTTTTAGATCCTTTAAGTTGATATCTGCAATATCTTTCAAATCTTCCTTATCTTTAAAGTATTCTATATCAATTTTATTGCTATCATTCATACTAGCATTTTGTATTTCAATATGTGATTCAGTATTACAAATACGATCTAAAATAAATAAAATAAGGGCATAAATTGTAACTAATTGGCTTTGGTCATAAAGATGATAGATTTTTTAATAAAATTTATGAACTGTTATTAATTTATCTTTGATAATGTTAAATTTGAAAATCAGTTAATAACAAAAAAGAAAATTAAATAGTTAAACCTAATAATAATTAAATATAATTTAAATTAATTTTTTATAAGAGTCTTCAAAAAATTTTCCTTAAATATTATAAGAAAAAAATTAATCAACTAATTCCAGATGTTTAAAAATAAAACATAAAGCACATTTTCTATTATAGTTTTCATTAGATAAAAAAAATCTACTCTGCACATAAAATGAATGACTATGGATATTTAAACCATCAAATTATATTAATAAAAATAGAATTTACAAAAGATTTACTTTGTACACTGTCCTTTTTATATTTCAGGTAATTGTGATTTTCGTATACTTAGGTTTAAGACAAAAATTAATAGTTAAACAATATCCTAAGTAAGTTTTAGAATTATTAAAAGTATGAAACCTTAAAAGAAATGCTATAAAACTTTTATAAATTTTTTTGTACAATTTGAAGAAAGAAATCGATATTTTAGGTTTACATTTATAAATATAATTATTTAGGTGACAAGTCTCTTGTTTTCAATTAACTTATAGTTGGATTATTTTATTTTACTCTATATATAAGCCCAACGACGACACATTGACTCAACTGTTTTTTATTGAAACATAGAAGATTATAGTTTATATAGATAATATAAATTATTAAAAATGAACTACATTTTCACTTACCTAAAACTTTAAAATTAATAAATATCTTATACTTTGAAACATTGAAAGACTGAATCTTAAAATTTAAGAAAATAAAATTAAAATAGTTATTCCATATTTTCAATTCAACCAGATAGCTAACAACTTTTTCCATGTATTTTTTTAATTGAATTTTAATGGCATCAGCATTATTTTCAGTAATATATTTATTGGTTAAAACAATTTCACTAGTAAAGTACAGTTTGTTTTTGAAGAAAAAATGCGAAAGTTTTTTAATTAATAAATTATTAATTTTATAATCTGATTTAAAAGTATATATATTATCATTATAGTCTTTTAGAATTTGAATAAAACCATTTAAGACGTTTATTAGAAATTTCTGACTAAAATTGAATAAGTTAAGAGAAATAAATTCTTCTATATAACTTATTATTTTTTGACCCATTTCAATAAACATGGGTTTTAACCAAAATTTTACACAATCTGATTTCTCTGAAGATGCAACTTGAATTAAGGTTATAAAGTTTCGAATTAAAATAGCTATTGGACGAAATGTAGCCGAAATTACCAGATTTATATATGCTAAAACATCCTCAGAATTGAAATCATATTTCATATACTCAAATACATCTTGAATAGTTAAAGGAGTACCGTCGAAGCATTTAATATTAAGTGGAGTGAATCGAAGTAAATTTAATACAATGTGTTGACTATTATCTATTTTTATAGTATTATTTTTGTTGCTGAGAATCTGTTGGGTCATTATATCGTAAAACAACAAATATTTCGGATGAAAATTATTGTATGAATTTCTTTGTACTGTTAACTTAAACTTCGACAGCATTTCAAACTTTAGACCATTATTTGTAATTACTAGATTAGAAATAGTATATTCGTTTTTAACAATAAAAGGATTGCAACGAACCATATTTTCATAAAATATTGTGTTTGCACAATATTCATTTATGTAATTTCTTAGTTGTTCTTTAATTGCGAAATGAATAATCTTATAGCCTTCTAATAATTTTTGAGTATCATTTTTGTCATCATCATTTTGTGCAATCATATTTAATGATCCAGAAACGTTATTTAAGTACATATTTACTGTGATCAAACTAAAGGGATACTTATCTGTAGTACTGTTCATATAGTCATCCAAAAATATCAGAATTACTTTACTATGTGTTTGAAGTGCCTTGCCATAGTTCATAAGATTTTCTATTGTAAGATAATTTTCATTTTTTTCAAATTCTAACAAAAATCTTTCATTGTGGTTAAAAAAGTTTAGAAAATAACGAGTATTGGAGCACGATAAATAATGTGCGTAACTACTTAAACTTATTTTTATACACATTAATAATATCAAAAGTACAGAAATTTTCATTTCGTCATATATTTACGTAAAGTTAATTTCTTTATTATTTCAATTTGAAAAAAAATCGAAACTAGTGGTAAAAAGAATCTTAAGTTTTATTATTATGAATTTTATACCGTATTTTAACAATTGTTATTTAGAAAAAATGTATTTTTATTTAAGTGCACGTGTTCATCTTAAAAATTATTGTAAGGTTAATGACGTATTTATTATATCTATTTACTTAAAATTACTTACTACTGTTATAATCTTTTTTGGTCACACTGTTTTTAGCTTTGATGCGAAGCTGAGAAAGTATTACTTTTACTATGAATGCTTTTTTATTTTTTATATTTTGTTGTTACCACTCAATCTCAGCATTCTCAGGACCGATTTTGATGAACAATATGTCAAAAGATCACAAATCGTATCTAGTCGAAGACATTACCCTCAAAAATTGAAAATTTTTCACTTCGTTCCCCGTAAATGGTGGAAATCCCCCCAAAAATTACAATTTTTAAAATCAGTAAATTTCGACATTTATTTCTCGCTTTTTTTTTTTTTTAAAAACTGGCATAACTTTTTTAAAAACTTATAAATCAATATAATTTCTTTTTTAAAAATACTCTAGGTATTTACCTATCATTTGATATATAAATATTTGACCCTTTACCTACCCACTGGGATTTTCAAAATGACAATTTTTTCAAAAAAAATTAACTTTTCCAACTTAACTTTTGAAAATGTTCCGGAAATACAGACGCTTTTATATATGTCTTAAATTAATGCTTATGTAATATACTCTAATTTGAAAAAAAAAATTGACCCTTGGATTTATCTTCACCGTATTCATAAATATGCTATTTTAGTGTTAAAACTCTGGGTTTTGTATTTTATTTTAAAATACCTTACAAAGGGAGTACACAGATTTTTATAAATATTATATAAATCTAATTGACATAGCATATAAAGTTAAACTTATTTAAATTTTTAAGCTTCTTTGTTGTAATTTTTACTGAGAATATACTGAGAAATGATAAAAATAATAAAGTAGTTGTATATTTCTTTATATATTTTTTGTACCTTACAAAAGTTTATGAGTTCTTCAAAATTATTCAAATTCTTCTTTAAAATTAAATAATTTTACTTTTCAAATTATTATTTTTTTTACTCTAATTATGTGTACGACTAATATTTACATTTTTTGGTAATATGTTGCAATATAAATAATTTCTTAAAAAAAATTATTTTTAGTTTCATCTGAATTTAACAATGAATTTTTTATTAAAAATCTATTTTTAACAATTATAATTACACTTAATTGAGCAGATATTTTTAACAACATTTTGATCGGTTTTTTTAGTTAAAGTAATTCATTAAAGTTAATTAAGTTTTGAATATTTCAATGGTAAAATCTTTTTAAACACCATAAGTTACGTAGAAATGATTACTAGGATTTCTATTTAAGTAATTTATTACGATAAAAATGCAAAAAAAAACATGTTATAAGTGATAAATCTACAGTAAATAGTGATTATACAATTTCCTGACTTCATATTAATCTTAACAATACTATTTTATTATTCTCATAAATTTTTTATATAATAATGTAAATTTCAAACATGCAAATTAAAAGTCATGGTAACAAATTCTATTTTTTTTTATTATAAAAATTCAAATAATTAACTTTAAATGACCAAAAAAGTATGTAAAAAATTGTATTTTACACTGATTATATTTTACATATTAAAAATCAAAAGCAGTAATAATTAGAAAACAAATTTTTGTTCTTGTTGAGTTGGAAAGGAAAAGTATATTTTTGCTTCTGATGAAAGTTCCTTGTAGTGCAATGATTTTATTCATAAGTAACAATAATTTTTTATTGGAAAGTACTCCATCAAGCTCTTTAAATTTTTATACGCGTTAAAAGTAAAGAAATATACAACTACTTTATTATTTTTATAGTTTCTTCATATAAATTACAATATTATATTATTGAATATCAATTTCACGCTAAACTTTAATTACTATAATTAGTATTTATATATATATTATACTTCTAAATAAAAAAAACTTAGTACAGTGGAGTCACGGCACAGTTAGAACGTGGTATAGTTGGATCCAGTATAGATGATATTTGACTGTGATTAAAATCACTATCATAAGAAACGCTTCGATGCAAATCTGTAGAGTCTTTAATTTTAAAAATATGGTTGATTATTCTAAAAGCAAAATTAACTCGTATTTCTATCACTATTCCTAATTAGTAGTTTATTTATAAATAACTATCTATAAAGCAATTCATCACATAGTAGGAAATTGATATATAATAATTTAGTATTGTAATTTTTTTAAAAAATTCATAAATAATGAGTGGCAGTATTTTCAGCACATTTTCAAAAGTTTAGTTGAAAAAGTTATACTTTCTCTACGGATGTTTAAAATTTGACCCCCTTTGTATTCAAAATGGGGGGGATTCAAAATGACAACTTTTTCACAAAAAATTAACTTTTTCAACTTAACTTTTGAAAGTGTTCCGGAAATACTGACACTTTTATATATATCTTAAATTAAAGCTAATGTAATGTACTTTATTATGGAAAAAAAAAATTTCGGACTTTATTTTGTCTTCACGGTGAAAATGGTTACCGTATGCTATTTTTGTGTTAAAATTCTCGATTTTATATTTTACATTTTTAACTTTAAAATGTTATAACTTTTTGAAAAATGTATGGATCAATACAATTTTTAAATAAAAAATAATGTTGATATACTTCATTAATTCGACATACTTTTTTTTTAAATCGGACAATTTCCCTTAATACAGGGGGGGTTCCAAACATAAAAATGCATATAGAAAATAGAATTAATTAAAAATAAGAATTTTCCAGTGAATAACAGTTATAATAACAGTTAATAATATTCTATAAAAAATTATGAATTTGCAGTGCACTTAGATTTAGATATTTCCTTTGTTATAAAAACTTTTAATTACAACTTGTTATAATCAGATTATATAACTTCTTAGTTAAAAACTCTGTGGTGTTTGGTCACTGATGATGTTACCCTAGATTACATTAAAAAAAAATGTATTTTTATTAAAACATAGAATTCAAAATCTTTTATTCTTTTTCAAAACCAGCACCAAAATAATTTGAAATGATTATAAGCAATATTTGGCATAATAAATACGGTAAACGATGTAAAAATCTTTACATCAATCATCAAAAATTATTAAAAACATGCTCAATATAAACCAAAAAAAACCTATTAGTTACAGAAACATCATCTAATTAGTTAAAATTGTTATCGTATCATTAAAATTGTTGAAATCATATAATATAAATAATATAAAACCTGTATAAAACAGCTATTTAAAAATTATGAAATTAAAAAAAAAATTTTTTTATTTTAAATAATTAACAAAAAATATGTTTTGATGTAGCCTAAGAATGCTAAAATTATTTAAAGTAAAATTATAACGAAATTTTAATTGTATAAAAAGTTATAAGAGTTGTCAGTTAGATCTGTTTTACTCTGTATACAGAGTAATTGGTTTATTTTTTACTACTATTTCTTCTAAAATAATAACAATTTTGGAAACAATTTTTGGGCTGATTCGAGTAGAATTTATTTCTCAATTATTGATTGGTTAAATACTTTTTATGACCATTTCTTATCCCTTTATAAGAATCATTATACCTAAGAATAAGAATCATAGAGATTTATATATATATACATATAATAGCAACAATACTTCAGTAAAAACACCTAAGTGAAGAAACCAAATTAATATAATTTGGTAGGAGGTGCACACAAAAAAATCTAAGTAAAATTAATGACTAAAAAAGAAACTTAACACCATTGATCTATTCGTTTACCTAATTTATTTAATTAGGCATTAACAATTTAGAATACTATCTACAAAGACTTAACACGAAAGAACTAGTAACGTAAAATACAAAGCTTATTTAAAAAAAAAACAAACTTAATATTGTTGCATAAAATTATATAAAGATTTTAAAAAAATTAACATATTAACTTTTATTGGCTACAGGTCATAAATTTAATATGATAATATATACATGTAATTACAAATGTTACAATAGTTATAGCAGACCAAATTATCAATAAATAAAACAAATTTACAGGAACTCAATAAAAAGATGTTAAACAAACAATAAATACATTTTAAGCAGACATAGTAACATATTTGTTACTATTTTGGCACCTGATATCTTAAGCAATATTTTAGTAGTACAGTATTTTTTTAAATTTATTTTTAATAGAATAGTTAAAATTATCGATGATAAGTAATAGAACTCTTTAAACTCTACACTATTATTTTAAACTTGTCTTGTAGTGAATAGTTAGTTCACAGTTGATTGTTATATTTTGAAGATTTAAATATACAATGTATCAATTTTACAAAGTGGAAGTACAAAATACTGTATATAAAGTATGATTCTTTTACAAAACTGTTTTTTCGAATTTCGATGTTTATTTTTAAAACATAATTGTCAATTGTAATCAAAAATTAAAATACTCCAAATTTTATATTCTAAAAAAAGTAAAACAATTTTAAATATATAAATAAATGATAAAAAAACAATATTATTTGATAATGGTTAAGATCATTATATGCTGTGCATTAAGCAAATATTAATATGGAAAATTTATTGTTAAAATATGTTTTATAATTCTATTTTAAAATTAATTTTTTAATCTTTGGTTCAACTAGGTAAAATAACTCATCATATAAAATTATTTATAATCACTAATATGTAAAACTCATGTGCCAGAAGCTTTTAATTTTTGTTAAACGTAATAAATACATGTACACATATAATACTGGTTTTAAAAAATATCAATATAATCATAAGTTGTCAGTCTAATAATATTCAAATCACGCGCGCGGTGCGGAGAAAGTGCAGGCAAGAGGAGTGCAGCAAAAGACATCATAACAGTTGCAGCTCGAGGAGGGAAGTGTGAGCGTCGCTTCTGTCTGGCGATCAGCACAATGTTTCGACAGGTTTGGACAACGTAGACTCGTTTACTGTAGACGGCATGGCGTTGGACATCGAAGACCTGGCATTGCCACCATCAGACGGGTTATCTGAGCTAAGGCACCACATGCGCTTCACCGCCATCCAAACTTGAGGCTGACATCCGACTACAATAAATATAAGTAATCCTTGTAAGGCGTTCATCACATCTGTCATGTACCACACATAGTCAGGTCCTCCGATGATCCATGATACAACATCCACTACCCACGTAATTCCCATTACAATCACCAATTTCAGACACACCCGTCCTAGTGTAGCCCTGTAAAAAAATCATTAATTTATCATTTATCTTAACCTTTAATGTTTATACGATTTTACAATTTAAATATTGTGTTTACATTAAAATACACTTATGTATCATCGATAGTGTAATTTCAAGTAAAAATATGTAACTTAAAATTTATACTTCTTGGTTTATTTTTCTAACATCTAGATTATGTTATATTAATAAACACCTAAGACATATTAAATAAAAAGTTAATAGATATATGAATGTGATTGTATACTCGTATCATAACAGTGGCGTAGTCAGGAAAAATAGAGACCGCGGTATCTTCCATAAATCCGTGTGAGTTTACAAGCAAAAAAATAGGGGTTGTTAGTGGGAGATTTGTCTGGCCATTGTTTCCCCCCATTATATACTTACATTCACATATTTATATTTTCTTCTTTACTCATAAAAGAAAAACCGTTATACCTTACCTTTCGCTAGTGGATTTAACTACTTCAGTTCTCCAAAGTCCACACGTTAATTCTCTAGCCGTGGCAGCAAACAAGGTTAAATTCATCATTAAAAGAATACCAATGGGTCCGTAAAAATATGAAAGCAAATCGGCATCACCTGTCAAAATACACAGGTTTTTATATACAAAAGTGTTGAATATAGACAATCTTTTATCCCAAATTAAATTTTATAAAAGTATTATTTTATAAGTGCTAAAATGTATGTAAATTTCTATCTACGAATATGAATATTTTCACTAAAAATATTTTTTTGCTAAAAACTTTTATACATACGATTTTTAATAGTAAATTAGGTTTATTTTTTAGATTCGATTCTATTAATTATAAAATGAAAAATCACCAGTCTCATACTCACCATAAAACCAACAGCGGTGTTCACCAAATTTTGGCCTGACGAGTGATATATATTGGTCCGGTGGAATCCTATCAATAACTGCAGCTAAAGTGGCGATCACAAAGGGCACACCCCATGCATACAGTTGGTATAACCGAAATCTACAAGCTTCCTGGCCTTTATCCAAATTTGCAGGCCTTAAGTCCCTAGAAAAAGATAATGCTATTAGTCAACTGTATTTTGTCAATTGTTCTTAAGTAGGATTCTATGATTCGAAGTTGAATATTCGATTAAAATCCTTTGATGAGTATTAGTTTTCACACATATAACGCATTGATTTATTTGATACTTTTTGTAAATCTTAATTGACTAAAAATGATTTAATAACTTCGTGTATAATCAATGTAACTCCTTAATATAATTATAAATATTGAGAAAATAAAACACTCCATATCGAATTAAAGTATATATGTTTCTATATATATATATTGTATCTTTTGCGGGTAAACTACTTCAGAAGTGAAATTTTTCTTTTATATAATAACAATATACAGAGTGTTCAGTAAGTTAGGAAACAGTTAAATTGTTACAAACAATGAGTACAATAGAAATTCGTTTTCTTATTTACTGAACACCCTGTATAAGTAATAATTATGTTCTAAAAATCAAAGCCGTTGTTGAGAATTTTTTAATTAACTCGCACGTCACATAATAAAAATTCTGTAAAAGTAATAGTAACCTGAGAATCCTTTAGGTTTTAATTAAACTATTGAGCTGTTCGTAGACTATAGAGTGTATAAAAAACGATTACGATAGAAATAAACCGGTAACAACTTTAAAAAAATAATAATTAGCATTTATGTAATGATATGTGTAAAATGTATTTAATATAATTTATGACCATTGAAAATATTTAGAGAGGCGATGTTGTGTTCAAAAATTCAATAAATAGTAAAGATGGATACAATATTTCATCTTCAGCTTGAGGGTATGCATTAGATATATTCCAAAGGATCCATTAATTCATAAACCGATTTCAATTTTCCGTTTAATGTTTATTTTCGATTATTATATATTTTTCTAATAAAGTAGCCATTGAACGATAGTACTTGAAAATACATGTCATTAGCTACATTACAGTGAAATCAAATATTCAAAAGTTGATTATTTTTTTGTATTTTCTTAAATTTAGTCTGAAAACATCAGAAAAAAGTATTTTTTAAAAGATTTTTTTTTATCGATTATTAGTTATTATTAGTTTAGAATTAATATTATCTGAAACGCAAATTACATAGATGTATTTAATATATTTATATAATTCGAACAGTTTCAATCAAGTAGCACAAAACTCACAAGCAATTGGCAATAGAAAAGGAATACAATTAAATGTAGATTAAGTCGAATTTGTAATCAACTATGCATATCGTATTTATAACTAGAAGTGATGAATAGGATTCCGGTAAGAATCGTACTTTGTTTTGTCCAGACCATTGTGCCAGGAAATCACTCAAATATTGTCAAGTCGCTAATTTACAAATAAACATATGATCTGCACTAATGCAATATTGTCGAGGAAATCAAATCAATGCATTATTCTTTAGGATATAGGTAATATATATTACAAATAATAACGTGGGAATATTACTCGATAAAAGTATACCTTCGTAACACGATATTACTGACGTTATTGTTTTTATGGATATGTAGGAGGAGGGTGTACACGATTGAAAAGAAACACATCATACACATACAATGAGCCGACGAGACCCATCGTCTTATTACATTATTAATCCTTTTCTTATTTTCTATTAAGGAGCAGGTATACGTTAAAGGTATGAAGCATATAAAATGCACGAGATCCAGACACATCCTCGGGCTACTAAGTGTATATAAGAATCAGCCGTATTTATGTATGAAATAAATCTGTACCTACGATCTAGAGAGGCCTCTCTATTACATTATTGTAGTTGATTGAAAAACATTAGAAAAACTAAGTATATTGGTAATGTCATCCGAGTTACGTCTTAAAAAAACTCTCATTTAGCTAAAGGAAACTTAAATCATGTTGCCAACATATTTAAGAATTCTTTATTAGTTATTTGAAAATAGAGTATTTTTTATTTTTATTTTTTTGTCAAAAATGTTTATAGATAGGCCTTTCTAGATTCAAGGTACAGAAAGGTAAGGCCCATAAAAAGACTATTCTAGAGTAAGTGTTCTAGTTTACCGAATTTTAAAATATTAACATCCAGTTCGTTCTAAACCTCTCTAATTTCCTTCAAAACTATAAACTTGGTAACAACACATTACAAAATTTTTAAATCAATTAATACGAATTTGTACTGGCTGGTGAGTTCAGAATACATTAACAACATTTATAAATGCATAACATTCCTAGATCTAATCACAATGTTTGTTAACTTACCTAAATGTCCACCATATATTAAAACACATCGTGTTAAGCCAGAAGAATGCCGCCAAGAACACAAAGTGCATCACAATAGCTGAAACAAAAAAAAGACGACATAAAAAATTAACTACTGAAACAAATACATTAAAAGTTATTATTTTCAAGGTCTTTTCATAATGTAGTAAGACTTAATATAATCATAGCGGAAAATTCAATAAAAATGTAGTGTTGTATTTTATTCAAAGGAAAGTTTTTGATTTAATAAATACGATAGATAAAGGTTACCACAATGTAAACGTAAATAGAAACCGATTGCGGAGCTTGCAATAAATGCAACATTGCTATTATTAAAATTAGTAATTACAATTTATTGATTTTAAGTAATAAATTGATATCTTATGGATGTTAACAATTAAAAAATAATTTTTATTTCAAATTTCTTCTAGATTCATTTTTATTTAGTTGAACTAATTAATTGTAAGCGTTACATAATAAATCCAATAAGCATATCCTATTATTAATATGTTCTTCGTTTTATGAATATAAACATGGCACGGCGGCTTCTCTATAACATGAAAAAATCAGAAATGGTTAAATCTGCTACTGATTTCTTCAATAACAAAACATTCTTATGTTTGTTTGAGCACACTCGTAAAGCAACGAGTATGCTTAAAAAATTGAACTGTGCAAAATTCTTCTTTTAAAGCAAGACACAATATCGTAAATATTTTTAACTACATTATTTCGATGTTACTGTTGTCAGTTAAAAATTCAATAACAATAACAAATAAACACAAAAGTACCTCGATGTAGAACTTCACTAGAGTACACTCTAATTTCATGAAATCGCACAACTATACATTACAAAAGTTGTAAATACAATAAAATAGAGATGAGAATCAATTTGATTCATAAACAGACAATAAAACTTTTCTTATTGTGGTATACTCTCCATTTGATTAATTAAAAATGCCAAACATTTATACAAATGTTAGTATAAATTATACCTACAACTAACCGACACATAATATTTTAGGCAAATTGCAAAGCGGCTGAATACTGTGAAACAATTTATGTATTATATGTGCTAACAGGAAACTAAATGGAATATGGCAATATAACCGTTATGTCGAATTATAATAATAATAATGGGAAGAACTAGAAGAAATAATTCTATTTTACTAAACTAGCCATATGTAGGAGAAAGTTACAAATTCTGGCTCTGTATAATGCAGAATTGATAAAAGTAGGTTTAGTCGTGCTCGGGGATAAAGTCAGTAGCCGGTTTCCGATTCTGTTTACTGGGAAACTCGGTCATCTGAGTAAATGAAAAATGCATATAAAAACAAATACCTAATTGTAATTAACAAGTTTTATTCTGCCGATAATAATGTTACTCGGAATACACATGTATTTTATCGAAATCGAACAACACTTAAATGCCGCAGGTGAATTGCCGAATTGAGGAAATCATACGTTCTTCTAAGAAGATAATTTCTTTTATATCACTCTCGAGTTACGTAATTAAAAAAGTAATTAATTGTTTCAATGAATAGCCAAGTAGGACAATACGATGGAATGTTTATATGTATATTGACCACCGTACACAAGAAAATAATTCAAGGGCGTTCTCATTATCTATTGAAATCACCTTGAATTTTCAAATTTTATTCGTTAAAATCATTAGATACATAACTCATGCAGTTAAGGGTTATATAATATATAACCCATATTATATATTAATAAACGTATTTTAGACGATTTAGAGCATTTATTAAATAAAACGAAAATAAATTAATAATATTTTTACATAAAAAATCGTGCTGCAATGAAAGTATTAAGAATAAAATAAAAAATTATCGAAATGTTCATAAACAAATATTGGATTAGTAATAATTAAATAATTTTTGCATAAAAAAAAAATTAAACTTATGGTTGACAGGGTTCCTAACGGTCTAGTAATTATTTACAATTAATCTAATATTCTAAGTATACACTAACTGATAAATAAATTTGTTAATAAAATACTGTAATTTAAAATTAAAATACAAAGTCAAGTTTAACTAATTAAGTAAAACGAGATTTTTTTTAATATACACAGGCAAAACGTGCGAATGCATTTGTTTAAAACAAAAAAATCATTCATAGTAATAACAACGGCATGTGATGCGATAAGCATATAGCACATAATTTCCAAGCAAATGTACGAAGAATTGGGTTACAATCATATATGATTGACCTCTAAGAAATTTACAAAATAAATAGTTCCTAGTTTACAAAAAATATCATAGGGTACTAAAAACATGTCATTAGTTTATGACCATTGATGTATAATCAACATGCCATAAGAATATTAATATTGAATACAATAATTTGAAATGAATATTTCTTTTCAATTTGTATGATTTACAAGAAAACATTAATTTGTTATACAATAAAAATATATTTTAATGATTTACAGTTGTTTATCTATTTTATCATAATATATAATTAACAATCAGGTTTTAAATTTATTAAGATTTACTACTGTTGTAAGAAATCATATAGAGTCAAATAAGTTTTTTGTCAAAAATAAAGGTTGTTACATTTCCATTTAAGTATTGAGAGTATAACTCTTTATGTTTACTAACTACTGGATTAACAAATCCACCTCACGAATAAATGTATCATTTAATTTAGAGTAATTAGGAATTGAAACTCTAAAAATTCCTTTAATAGATTTTATTTGTTCTTGAAAATTTGGCCGACCCCAAGTAGTTGGGATTAAAGCGAGGAAGAAGAAGAAGAAGATTTGTTCTTGAAAAGTTGGTGCCAGTGGTATATTTAAGAATACTCGTATAGTTTCAGTATTAATTAATTGTACTAGATAATATTTATGTATAAATAACACAGTTTTCTACAAGTAATGAAATTTTTACTAAATTTTTAAATAAAATGATATTTTTCAAAAGTAACACTTTTCAAACATTTAAATCACATTAATCATAATATTACGAATTACGAATGATATAACTCTTATTACTATCAGTACTTCTTTGAGAAGTCACTATTTTTACCACTAGATTGCGTATTGGTTAGCATGAAATAACCTATTACAACCACTAAAGATTATGCATTCTTTTCGTTGCAAACTAAATTCGTAGATTTTCTTATCTTTAGTGTTATTTTACTGTCACATTTGACCCTTCTATTTTGTTGGTCGAAATTTTGTCGCCCACAACTAGTTTATAATATACGATACACGCCTCTATACTGAAGTCAATATTCAAACAATTTCAGTATATAGATTTGAAAATAGGATGAAACCAATTAAGTCAAAACCATTATTTATTAATGGTAATAAATATATATAATCCAGTTTATCTATGATGTTTATTATGTTTTTTTCTAAAATCCTCTCTTCGTGAGATAAGCAGCTGCTTGAAAATATAAAAACTATAAATCTTGTAAAAGGGCGTAGTTTTTATAAACATCAAAGACAGTACAATTTACAAAACGAAATATCTTAAGAATAATAATATTTCACCGTTTGATTAATTAGCTCAGCTAAATCATGATTTTTGATAAACACTCAAAGGCGCCACTCTTTCTTATTCAATAACAAATTTATTTAGAAACGAGAGTAATTGAATTTTCCCATCCCTTTATTAGTACTGTAATTTATATTGCCACACGCGTCATGTCAATTGAATCACGCGATTCAAGTGTGGGCATAATTATTAGTTTAAATTGAACCCCCATCTCGATGTGGGCAACAATCAAAGTCGTTAACCAAATGAACAAAAGATAAATTCGTCGTTTCCTTTATAAAAAATATGATCAAGCGTCGCCAAAAAGTCTCTTGATTTTCTTTCGAATGGACGAACAATTACTTTGTTAGAAAGAAGTTAAATATTCATAAAACTTGAACGTTTTCTAAAATGTGTTAATTTTAGTTAAATTCATGTGAAAAACAATATCAAGCATTTTGACACTTCGTTATTTTCTGTCGACTTTTTAACAATGTGTTCAAACTGATTTAGCGATTTTTCATTATAATGTTGCTTTTTAGAGAACTAAGAAAAAAATAAATTTTAAATAGAAATTTTTTTTTATTCAAATGTTAAATGTATTAAATCTTAATTACGTGGTAGTTACAACGATTATAACCGATTATATTTTCTCGGAGATTTGACGAATAAACGTGACTACTATAGAAGACGATTAAAATATATTTTTTTTCTATTACAACTAAATCTCTTTCCCACGCTAAGATGTGACAAAAACTTGCCACGAAAATTTGACGCGTTGATATAAAACAGCCCTCTGCTACAGACTAATAAGGTTTCTTCTAATGACTAGAAAATTTATCTACATAATTATTTGTTTTAGTGGACATACAGTAGAAGATTAACCGGTCATATGTTATCAAACATCACCTCTTCGGCAGGTTTAAGAACGAGAAATTCCACAGTTGACTGTTTAAAGAGAATCACTATCAAAATATTTACCCAGCCATTTTACACAAAAGAATATTTTCATTCAATTCAGCTACTTTATATACAGCCTAATTAAATTTGGAAAAACCTAAGAAGAATAAAAAATTGTCTTCTTGAAGGAATATGTCATACATTGCCAGTGTTACCAGTCTCTTAATTAGGCACTACGACCGTGATGGCAACAAAATACACACATTTCTACACGTGCTGCAGAGCAACGTCGTGTTATCGGTGAACTGGTTGTTCCATTGTCGACCATAACAATAATGATGCGTGGAAAACAATACTATGTTATGTGTCCACAGCCCTTGGAGGACGTGTTCAAAACTAACGGTTAAGCAATACGATAAGCACGCGCGTTGAAGTGTTGAACCCAACACAAGATGTTACAACGTCTCTTTTTTTCAGATTTTTCAAAAGTAGTACCTATAACAGCTGGTCAATCCATTAAAAAAAAATAATAATAATAAAATAGAAAATCAATCTTTAGAATTACTTTGGAATGCACTACAAGTCGGATATATTGACGGAACGCTCGTTTACAATAAATATTTGGCCGGCATGTACAGCTTTTAAAAATATTTTATCAATACAAAACGCGCATAGTTTTCTCAAA